TTCAACAATAATTTTAAAGCGTCTGATTTTAATGAGACGCGATCGTCATTTTCTCCAAATCACCTGAACATCAGTGGTTTCAGTAAAATGCTAAATTCTGCTCAGAAGCTTTTCGTCCTTCCAGCAGTAAAACAAAACCAACACATGTTGACTTTACCTTTGTGTCTCCAGCTGCTCTCTGATTGGCTGATCCCACGTCATCATGGCTCACCTGTTCCTCGCCAGTAAGATGCCGGACGACCTCCACGGAAAAGGCGGCGGCCGGATCCCGAGAAGCGCCATGAAGGTTCCGATCTCCTCCGAGAAGCTGATCCGGGACAAACCCAGGAAGGACCTTGGCGTCGTCGTGACGACGCGAGTCCCGCACGTCAACGAGGTCCAGCTGACGGCGGCAACTGGCGGCGCCGAAATGTCCTGCTACCGCTGCACGGTGCCGTTCGGCGTGGTGGTCCTGATCGCCGGCGTGGTGGTGACGGCGGTCGCCTACACCTTCAACTCCCACGGATCCACCATCTCGGTCCTGGGCCTGGTCCTGCTGTCGGCCGGACTGGGCCTGCTGGGCTCCAGCGCCATCTGCTGGAGGGTCCGTCTGAGGAGGAAGAAGGACAAACGACGGGAGAGCCGGACGGCCCTGATGGCCAGCGAGGGGGACTGCATCGCCTGAGGACGCTGCTGGAGATTCCTCAGAGCCTGAACCTGAACATGAATTCTTCTGGTTTAAAAACTAGAAACCAGCGACTCTCTGCACAGGAGGAGGCAGAGAACAGTTGTGGAGACGTTAAACTTTTCACTGCAAGTGACGAAGGACACACAAAGTCCTGAGACGATCAGCACCGACGTTCCAACAGATCTTCTCCAGTTGGGTTTTGGACTGCTGGTCGGACACGTGAAGACGTTCAAAGGAGGAACTCTGGTTCTGTGATTTAAAAGCAGAACAGATGGATCCCTGACGGATCATTTACAGTCTGTTGTGGAGCTTCAGAGGAACGATTTGACTTAATTTCTCTGACGTTAATCATAAATCTGTTTTATTCTGAGCATCAGATCACAGCAGAGTTTGTGTTGTGATCCTCCAACAAGTTTAAACAATCCGCTGATGCATCAAACTGCATCCAGATATGATGAGATGTTTTAAATGTTTAATGTACAGAATCAGACTAAACGCTGCTAATGAGCTATAAACGACATTTTAAAGGTACTCCGTAGTTGATGAACAGTCGGTCGGTCTGTTTGTGACGGATTCAGTTCTCCTCAGGATGGAAATACTCGATTTCAACTCTGGTTTTCTGGCGAGCATAAAAACTTCTCCTCTGATGTCGGGTTCAAACTCAGAGCAGGTCATTAGAAACTCCTGATGGACACGTGTTGGTCCAAACATCAGGAAGAAGCAGCCAGAGGCACATCTCCATTTCAAATTAAATGTCCAACATCATCAAATGATGAAGAGAATCTGAACGTTTGTTGAAGCCACTGTGAGTTATTAACATTCTGACATGACTGGGATCTAAAAAGTCTCCTTAAGTTTGGTTCTTGGGATCAAGATTCATCATTTTGTTTTCAATCAAATTCATACAAATTAATCAGCAAATCAGACGAGACCAACGGGAACCATGACTGACTGAACAACCGACAGACTTTAACATCTTGTGTCCAACATCATCTCTTTTCATGTAAGTCTGCCCCCTGGTGTCCAACAAAAGGAAATGCATTTCAGTGTGTTCTGCAGACGCATTAGAGATCAGATCAAGTTCTGGTTGAACTGTATTCAAACTCAAGCGCATCTTGCAGCAATTTGCATCTTTTCTTGATGGTTTTGCGTCTCTGTTGGCACTGTGTCTCTTTATGGACATTTTTTTGTCTCTTTGTGGACATTTTTTGTCTCTTTATGGACCTTTTTTGTCTCTTTGTGGACGTTATTTTTGTCTTTTCATGGTGGTTTTCTGTGCTGTTCGTTCATTTGAGCATCTTTTTGTGGCCATTTTGAGTCTTTTAGGATTTTCTACATCAATGAAAACATCGCACTGGGAGCACACCAGCTATTTCACATGTAGTTATGTTAATTTTGTACGTTTTTGTATTGTTTTGCACCTCTTTGCAGATTTCTTTCTGTCTTTTAGTCCCGTTGTGTGGCTTTATAGCATTCATTTGTAATAATGGATTAATCCTGAAAGGCTGCTGATGCAGAACTTTACTCTTTATGAAAGTACCGTCAGAGAGTTTCGTTGGATGAGAGCTCAGAACACTTAAAATATGAATTTGCGACAAACTTGCAGCTTAAAATGAAGTTAAAATCATGTGTTTGCTGTAAGTGTTCCACTAAGTTCACTTAAACGTCCATTGACAATTCGCCACAAATCTAAAGTGAGAGCGTGTCGAGCAGCAGTCTGAACCCAACGTCAGGTGACTGAACACCTGAGCAGCTCACAAACAGGCCGACCTCTGATTTGCATGTTCCTCTGTATGTTTAGTGCACTAAGATCCACACGTCATGTATCCCACTGTATTATTTGCTCTGTCGGCTCCGACTTATTTATTCTGTGCCATATAACAAACTTATTAAAGTCAAGATCCCACAAATGCCACCTGAGCAGAGCGACTCCTTTTTAGTTCAGGCTCTCAGGATTGTGTTTTACAATGTCTTTAGAGAACGTTATGGGAACTAAAAAAAAACCCAAAAAGTTAAAGCTGAAAACATGACTAAAACTTTCTTAGAATGTTTTAGAACAAAGAATTCGGGCTGGGGTGGTCGACCGCTATCCGGCTAACCCTAAACCTGTAGCTGCCCGGAACATTAAACAGTAAAAGCCCCCCCGGTGGAACTACCTGGTACTACATCTAATGTACAACACATTTTTTGACATGCATGCCCGTCGTCTTCTGCCTAATGGATCTTTCCAAAGGCTTGTGTCATAAACTATGGTCTGCTTCTGGGATGACTAAAAGTAACACAGTGGAGCCCAACATTCAACTATTTAACTATGTTGGAGCTAAAAGTTATGCTATGGCAGAAACCAAACACTGCTCATCACACACACCATCCTCACTGTGAAGCACGGCGGTGGCAGC